AGCATGCACAGCAGCAGCACATGCAGCCGCAGCAGCAGCAATACTTGCAGCAGCAGCAGCAGCAGCAGCAGCAGCAGCAGGTCCCCGTACCTCTAGAGGATTTGTACGCGTCACTTAAGGACCCTCTGGGGCTACTGCAGCAGCAGCAGCAGCAGCAGCAGCAGCAGCAGCAGCAGCAGCAGCACTAGCTGGTGCATGCAGAACCAATTCTTTTAAAGTCGGAAATAAATTAGAGACAAAAAGTGTCTCCATTCTACACAGGGGCCCCTCCAGTACCCTGGGGGCCCCCAGAGGCCCCCAACGCTCCTGGGGGGCCCCCAGGGGCCCCCAGGGGCCCCCAGGGGCCCCCCAGGTTGCTGGGGGCCCCCCGGGGCCCCCCTAGGCTTCTGGGGGCCCCCCGGGGCCCCCGGGGGCCCCCAGGGGCCCCCCAGGCTGCGGTGGGGGGCCCCATGTTGGTTTTTCGGTTGCTTTGGGGCCCCAGGGGCCCCCTTTATTCTGCTGTTGGGGGGCCCCAGGGGCCCCCCTTTATTCTGCTGTTGGGGGCCCCCAGGGGCCCCCCTCACGCTGCTGAGGGGCCCCCAGGGCCCCCGCTTGGCTACTAGGGGCCCCCCAAGACTAGGGGCCCCCAGGGGCCCCCAGGCTGCTGCTGCGGTGGGTCACTAAGGGCCCCTGGGGGCCCCCGAGAACCCTTTGGGGCCCCCAAGGCCCTTCGGGGCCCCTGGGGGTCTTTAAAGGCCCCTGGGGGCCCCTGGGGGCCCCTTAGGACCCTCACGCGCTACAGGGGGGCCCCCAGGGGCCCCCGACCCTACTGACTCTTTTGAGTTTTGAGTTGTGGGTTTTTGTTGGTTAGAAATATAAAAAGAGACAAATAAATAAATGCCAATAAAAGATAAATGCCAATAAAAGATAAATGCCAATAAAAGAGACACTCTGCTGCTTAGCTGCTGCTGCTAGTCTGCAGCCATTGGGGGGCCCCCCAGGGGCCCCCCAGGGGGGCCCCTGCGGACCCCGGGGGGCCCCTTGGGGGCCCCCATTGGGGGGCTCCCCATGGGGGCCCCCTGGGGTTCTCCCAGGTGGCCCCTGAAGGGGCCCCCCATGGGGGCCCCCCGGGGGGCCCCCCTAGGGGCCCCCATAGGGGCCCCCATAGGGGCCCCCATGGAAGCCCCTGTGTGGGCCCCCAGGGGAGCTCCCGTGGGGGCCCCCGTGGGGGCCCCCACGGGGGCCCCCGAGGAGGCCATGGGGGCCCCCGAAGGGGCCATGGGGGCCCCCGAGGGGGCCATGGGGGCCCCCTGGGGGGCCCCCAGGGGGGCCCCCGGGGGGGCCCCCCGGGGGGGCCCCAGGGGGGCCCCCGGGGGGGCCCCCAGGGGGGCCCCTAGGGCCTCTGGAAGAGCTGCGCGGCGGCCAAGATGGACGGATTCTCTTTTAAGAACATGAAGGAGAGTTTGAGCAGATTCTAAAATCTGAAAAAGACAAAAAGAGACAAAAAGAGACAAAAAGGGATTTAAAAAAGATAAAAAGATATTTTAAAAAGACAAAAGGGGATTTAAAAAAGGAAAAAAAGGAGACAAAAAAAGCCAAAGGAGACTCCAAATGGGGGAGGCAAGTGAGGGAAAAAAGAGACAAATAAGGAGACAAAAAAAGACAAAGTTGGGGAGAAAAAAAACAAAAAGAGGCAAAAAAGGGACAAAAAAAGACAAATGAAGAGACAAAAAGGGGACAGATAAAAGGACAAAAAGGAGACAAATGAGGAGACAAAAAGGAGACAACAAAGGGGACAACAAAGGGGACAAAAAAGGACAAAAAAGAGAGAAAAAGAGACAAAAAAGAGACAAAAAAACGGGTAGAAAGGGGCAAAAAGAGGTAAAAATTGGACAAACAAGAAGACAAAAGGGAGACAAAGAAAGAGACAAATAAGCCGACAAATAATAAAGCAAAAAGGAGACAAAAAGGAGACAAAAAAGGGATAAAAATGGGACAAAAAAGGGACAAAAAGAGACAAAAGGAGACAAAAAGAGACGAAAATTGGGCAAAAAAGGGCAGAAAAAAGACAAGAACTCGACAAATAAGAAGGCGAAAAGGAGACAAATGGGGAGACAAATAAGGAGACAAAAAGGAGACAAAAAAGGGACAAAAAAGAGACAAAAAAAGGGACAAAAAAGGACAAAAAAGGACAAAAAATGACAAAAAAAGACCAAAAAGAGACAAAAAGAGACAAAAAGAGACAGACTTTGGTGTAGGCGCCTTCGGTCTCTTCGATGGTTTTGTCGTATTCGCTTCGGGCGTGGATTTTGCGGGCGAGACTTTCTGAAAAAAAAATAAAAAAAAAAAAGAAAAAAAAATAAAAAAAAGAAAGTTTTGGCCAAAAAAGGAGACAATTGGAGACAATTAAAGACCATTTGAAGGCCTTTAAAAGAATTTAAATTAATTTAAATTAAATGGCAGCAAATGCGAAAAAAAAGGAGACAGTTGGAGACAAATTCGAAAAAAAATAAAAATAATTGGAGACAATTTGAAACTATTTGAAACAATTTAAAGCAATTAAATGCATTTTTAATTAATTATAATTAATTATAATTAATTTAAATTAATTATAATTAATTATAATTAATTTAAATCAATTTAAATCAATTTAAATCAATTTAAATTAATTTAAATTAATTAAAATTAATTAAAATTAATTAAAATTAATTAAAATTGATTAAATTGATTTAAAACAATTAGTGGGGATTTAAAGTAATTAAAATCACTTTAAAACAATTAATAGCAATTAAAATTAATTAAATCGATTTAAAATAATTAAAACTAATTTAAAGTAATTTAAATTAATTTAAATTAATTTAAAGCAATTAATCCTGCTGCTGCTGCTGTTGCTGCTGCTGCTGCTGCTGCTGCTGCTGCTGCTGCTGCTGCTGCTGCTGCTGCTGCTGCGTGTTTACCTTTAAGCCGCTGCAGTCTCTCTTGCAGCAAAGCAATTTCTTTTTGTATTTTTTCTTTGTCTCTTTCTTCCTGAACAAAAAAAGCAAATTCTCAAAAGATATATTTACAAAAGCAGCAAACTCGCTGTTGCTGCTGCTGCTGCTGCTGCTGCTGCTGCTGCTGCTGCTGCTGCTGCTGCTGCTGCTGTGGTTGCTGCTGCGGCTGCAGCAGCTGCTGCTGCTGCGGCTGTTGCTGCAGTCGCTGCTGCGGGTGCAGCTGCGCTTGCTGCTGCTGCTGTGGCTGCTGCCATAGTCGTTGAGCAGTTTGCTGCTGCAGCTGCTGCTGCCTCTCCTGTTGCTGCGCTCTCTGCTGCTGCCTTTGCTTCTACAGCACGCGCTGCTGCTGCTGCTGCTGCTGCTGCTGCTGCTGCTGCTTCCAAAGCTGCTGCTGCAGTCTTTCTGCAGCTTCATGTCCCGTAGCTGCCGACGCGCCATCTGCTGCAGCTTTGAGCGCTGCATTAGGCGCTGCTGCTGTTGCTGCTGCTGCTGCAGCAACTACTGCTGTTGCTGCTGCTGCTGCTGCTGCTGCTGTTGCTGCTGCTGCTGCTGCACTGACCTGCTCTATCTGGCGGTTGACTTCGTCTCTCTTCCTCTTGAGGTCTTCGATGCACTGGACGAGTTCGCTGTTGTAGTTCTGCAGGTTGGTGTTGGCCACGGCCATTTCCGGAGCGGGCGAAAAGACAAAAAGAAGCAAAATGGTTCATTTAAACCACTGAATTGGCGAATTAGTCCATTTAAACCACCAAATTCTTCTTAATTGAATCAAATGGAACAAATCAAGGGGCTATACGGGGGTCACATCTTTTAAATTCGAGGAAATCGAAAAAACCGAACTCCTGCTGCTGCTGCTGCTGCTGCTGCTGCGCTGCTGCTGCTGCTGCTGCTGCTGCTTCTTTCTGTGTAAAATCGCAGCTTGTTTAAAATTTTAAATTAAATTTTCATTTTAAAAAACCGAAAATTTGAACGTTTTGGAAAAGTTGGTTTTGGACAGGGTGGGGTTGTTGTTAGGGGCTTGCGGCTGCTGCATGCAAACCCTAAACCCTAAACCCTAAACCCTAAACCCTAAACCCTACAGCCCGCGCCTTAAACCCCAAACCCTAAACCCTTATCTGTATTTCTACTCGTTAAACCACTAGGGTTTTGCCTTCCGCGGCTAAAGATAACAAAGCCGTACCATAACCACTAGCAGCAGCAGCAGCAGCAGCAGCAGCAGCTGCTGCTGCTGCTGCTGCTGCTGCTGCTGCAGCTGCTGCTTATAAATACTCATTGAACAGCGCGCTTTTACTAATTGCCGCCTTTTAATGAATTCAAAAATTTTTAAAATATTTTTGAAATTTCGAAATAACTTTTCACATGAAAGGAACATAAAACAAAATATTTCATTTTATTTCACTTTTAAAATAAAATAAAATAAAACAAATAAAATAAAATAAAATAAAATAAAATAAAATAAAATAAAATAAAATAAAAATAAAACAAAATCATTTGTTCGAAATGTGCCTTTATAGAAATGCCTGAAAATGAAATTATTCAAAAATATAATTTGAAGAAAATATAATTTTTTCAAATGCCATTAAATGCCAATATGCTGCAGAAGCTGCAGCAGCAGCAGCAGCAGCAGCAGAGCAGCAATACCAGCAGCAGCAATAATGGCAGCAGCAGCAGCAGCAGCAACGGCAGCAAGAGCAGCTACAATAGCAGCAGAAGCAACAACAGCAGCAATAGCAGCAGCAGCAGCAGCAGCAGAAGAAACAGCAGCAGCTGAAGCAGCTGTAGCAAAAGAAACAGCAGCGGCAGCGACAGCTGAAGCAGCAGAAGCAGCAGCAGCAGCAGCAGCAGCAGCAGCAGCAGCAGCAGCAGCAGCAGCAGCAGCAGCAGCAGCAGCAGCAGCATGCACAAGCGCATGCATGCATTTGATTTGCTTTTTTTTGAGAATTTCATTTGAAGAGAATTTTGGAAAAAATGGAAATAAAATAAAAATTAAAAAATAAAAAAATTAAAATCTTTTCGAAATAAATTTAAAATGCATTTTTATTTAATGACAAACAAATTCTAAAAATTAAATTTATTTCCCCTTTTGCATGCGCATGCAAATGTTTGATTCGAAGATTTGTTTTTTCGAATTCAACAACTGCGCCATGAGGTCTAGGGTTTAGGGTTTAGGGTTTAGGGTTTAGGGTTTAGGGTTTAAGCGGCAGTCGGTGGCCACCACGCTTATCCCCGCCTCATTCTGCCAAACCAACCAAAAAGGGTTTAGGGTTTAGGGTTTAGGGTTTAGGGTTTAGGGTTCAGTCGGGGGTCTCTTGGCTCCTGTGCTGCTGCTAGGGTTTAGGGTTTAGGGTTTAGGGTTTAGGGTTTAGGGTTTAGGGTTTAGGGTTTAGGGTCTTAGCCTGGCCCTGATGGAGTCCATCAGCGGCTTCAAATGTTCTGCTGCAGAAGGAGACAGAGAAATGATCTCGTGGCAGCTAGTTAGGGCCTGCAGCAGCTGCTGCTGCTGCAGCTGCAGCAGCGCCTGCTGCAGCAGCAGCGGCAAATGGCCAGGGTGCAGCAGCCGGGCCTGCACACACAGACGCAGCACTGCTGCTGCTGCTGCTGCTGCTGCTGCTGCTGCTGCTGCAGCTGCCAGCAGCAGAAACAGCAGCAGCAACAGAAACAGCAGCAGGAGACGCAAGATCCGCGGCAGCAGCAGCAGCAGCAGCAGCAGCAGCAGCAGCAGCAGGTCTAGTGTCTCCAAAAGTGTCTCCTAATTACCTCTGAATAATGTTTTGCTGCTTCCGAGTATTTCTTTTGCTTCTCACAAACCCTAGCTAAGATTTGTGAGGACTTATAGTTGGGGCCCAGAGCTGCTGCTGCTGCTGCTGCTGCTGCTGCTGCTGCTTCTAGCTGCCGGTCGGCGAGCAGCAGCTCTGCCAGCAGCAGCTGCACCCTCGCAGTCTCTTCGGCGAGCCTGGTGGGTTCTGTGGCTGCTGCTGCTGCTGCTGCTGCTGCTGCTGCGCCCACTGTTGCTGCTGCTGCTGTTGCTGCTGCTGCTGCTGCTGCTCCCTCCGCCTGTGCTGCTGCTGCTTGCTGCAGACAGTCTCTAGCCTTTGCGGGCAGCCCCAAAACAACATAAGCTTCTGCTGCAACTCGCTGCGCATGCATGTACGGCAGCAGCAGCTGGTGCTGCAGCTGCTGCTGCTGCTGCTGCTGCTGCTGCTGCTGCAGCTGCTGCAGCAGCTGCTTCACCCGCTGCAGCGCAGCTTCCGCCTCCGGCCGCCGCCGCAGCAGCACAGCCAACTCCTGTCTGTACAGCTGAGTTGGCTGCAGCAGCTCAAGTGTCTCCTTTGTGTCTCCTTTTGTCTCTTCCCAAAACTTCAGCAGCAAGTCAGCAGCAAGCAGCACGAAGTCCCTGCTGCTGCTGCTGCTGCTGCTGCTGCTGCTGCTGCTGCTGTTGCTGCTGCTGCTGTTGCTGCGGCTAATGCTGCTGCTGCTGCTGCTGCTGCTGCTGGAGGCGGCGGTGGCTTCTTGCTGCGGCAGCTGCAGCAGCTGCAGCAGCTGCTGCTGCCCGAGTTTCTCCCAGGGCCTGGGCTGCAGGTGTGCTGCTGCTGCTGTTGCTGCTGCTGCTGCGTCGAAGCCTGCTGCAGCAGCAGCAGCAGACAGCAAACTGGCCAGCCGCTTCCGCGGGGAACTCTGCTGCAGCAAATCCAAATCCGTAAAGCCAAAAGGCCGCAGCAGCAGCTCCAGCTGCTGCAGCAAACTCAACTGCAGCAAACCAGGAAAAGCTTTTGCTGCAGCAAACTGCTGCAGCGCCTCCACTGGCCGGCAGCGCCACCTGCAAGCAGCAAAAATAAATTAAATAAACTAAATTAATTAATTAATTAATTAATTAAATTAAATAAATTAAATAAATTAAATAAATTAAATATATTAAATAAATTAAATAAATGATATAAATAAATTTATAAATGGAAATTAATAAAAAAATAAAAAGGAATAAAAGAAATAAAAAAGAAATTTAAGAAATTTAGGAAATTAAGGAAATTAAAAGAAATTAATGAATAAAAAGAAATTTTAGAAATTAAAGAAATTAAATAAATAAATAAAAAGAAATAAAAGAAATTAAAAATAATAAAATAAATAAATAAATAAATTAAACACATAAAATAAACAAAGTAAATACATAAACAAATGAATAAACAAGTAACTAAACAAATAAATGAATAAATAAATAAATAAATAAAATAAATAAATAAATAAAATAAATAAATAAAATAAATAAATAAATTAAATAATTAAATAAATAAATAAAATAAATAAAATAAATAAATGAATAAATAAAAGAAATAAAAGGAGACAAAAGGAGACAGTCGAAAAGCTACAAGTGTAAAAGATAAGTACTGAAAAAAATGCCCCAGCAAGACTCGAAACCCTAAACCCTAAACCCTAAACCCTAAACCCTAAACCCTAAACCCTCGATTAGTTCTTTTTTCGCTAAACCCTAAACCCTTTTGGGATTTGGGATTTGGGACTTCCAAAGACAAGAAACCCCCGCCATTAAGCGGCAAAAGAACTAATCGAGGGTTTAGGGTTTGCAAACCCTAAACCCTCGAACCCTAAACCCTAAACCCTAAACCCTAAACCCTATTGGGATTTGGGATTTGGGACTTCCAAAGACAAGAAACCCCCGCCATAAAGCGGCAAAAGAACTAATCGAGGGTTTAGGGTTTGCAAACCCTAAACCCTCGAACCCTAAACCCTAAACCCTAAACCCTAAACCCTAAACCCTAAACGCTAAACCCTAAACCCTGAAGGTTTCTGTTCTTTGGGGGCGGTAAAAGCGGCAAAAGAACTAATCGAGGGTTTAGGGTTTGCAAA